TTGTGTTCCCCGTTAGATTGTAAGCTTCTGGAGGGCAGGAGCTGACCTTTTCTTATGTATATCATCAGCACTTAGCATGGTGCCTGGCACTTAGTAGGTACTTCGTAAGAGTTTGTTTTCTTCATAATTGGTTTCCTTTCTCATTCTATGTATTTTATTTTATGAATTTAGAAATGTGATTCTGAGAAGGGGAGAGGGAGGAAGGGAACATTTATTAAGTACCTGCTATGTGCCAGGGGCCATGCTGAGTGCTTGACAAGTATCAGCTCATTCATTCCTCACAATCACCCTGAGAGCTAGGTAGAATAGGCTCCTAGGCTTCCCATGATGGGACTGCTGGGGAAAGCTTGAGTTCCTGCCTTAGGGGCTTGGCTATCCTGGCCCAAGTTGGCCTCCTCCTTCTCTGGATTCCCAGATTCAGTGGCATAAGTAGTCGCTGCACATTCATTTAGCACCTACTGCATGCCAGGCACTGTCTAGAGAGACAGGTATTGTATGAACTGAAGAATGGAGAGGTTGGTCATGTCCTGTCCTGTTGTGTGTGTGTGGTGGGGGGAATTCTCAGCCCCCCAAGGGAAGGATTGCGGTCTTTGGGTTTTGCTTTGCTTAATACTTCTCAGAGTATTTTCACAGACATTCTCTCATTTGAGTTTCTCAGCACCTTTCTAGATGGTATTATTTTCTCCCAGAGAAGTTGTAATTTGTAAGATGAACAGCTGGTAATAATGTACCACCAAGAGCTGAAATTTGTAAGGCACTTTAAGGTTTGCAAATTACTTCACACACATTATAACCCTAGGAAGTAGATGCTGTTATTATCCATGTTTTACAAAAATTTAAGTGACTTGCCCAGAGGCGCGCATCTAATAAATGTCTGAAGCAGGGTTTGGACTCGGGTCCCTTCATTCCAGGCCCTGTGCTCTGAAACCTAGACCATCTAGCTCATCCTCCCCAGACCTGCCTCTTCTGATAGGAATGCAGCCAGCTGTGATCAGTTCACTTTCAGAGGGATACCATCTCAGCCCTGCAGCTTGGCATTAAAGGCCCCCCACATTCTGGCACACTCCTACCCTTCTAGCCTTTTGTCACACTAACGCTCTCCAGAAGCCCTACATTCCGGGTGGACTGGACTCTGACCTGCTCTCCATTCCTTTCATCTGTGCACTCGAAAAAGCCACCCCCCATGCTTGGAGTGCATTCACTCATCTTCTGTGCTTCTCAGAGTTTTGTCTGCGCAGGCCTCCGCTCAGAAACCCCCTTTCTGTGACCGTCCAGTTTTTCTCAGCTTCTCCTGCCTCATTTTATGTTATCTTTATTTATTTGCTGACAGAACTTCAGGTCTTGGGGTCAAAGAGTGTTTTATTTTTGAAATTCCTAGGCCCTGAAATCTTGTTTTTGACATACTTGTGATTTATTTTTTAAAATATTTTTCACTTACATGTAAAAACAATTTTTAAGATTCATTATTCAAAATTTTGAATTCCAGATTTTCTCCTGCCCTCCCTCCTCATTGAGAAGGCAAGCAATTTAATATTGGTTATACATGTGCAGTCATGTAAAACATTCCCATATTAGTCATGTTATGGAAGAAAATAGACCACAAAAACCCTCAAGAAAAAAATGTCTGTTTCTATCTGCATTCAGCCCCCTTGATCATTAGTCCTTTGGGGTTGTCCTGGAGCACTGTGTGGCTGCGAATAGTTGTCATTCCCAGTTGAACTTTGTACAGTATGGCTCTTAGGTTCTCCTGGTTCTGCTCACTTCATTGTGCATCAGTTCACGTGAGTCTTTCCGGATTTTTCTGAGACCATCCTGCTTGTGATTTCTTGTAGCACAGCAGTGTCTCATCACAATGATATACCCCAACTTATTCAGCCATTCTCCAGCTGATGGGCATCCTCTCCATTTCCAATTCTTTGCCACCACCAAAAGACCCGCTGTAGATATTTTTGTACAGACAGGTCCTTTTCCTTTTTTTTTTCTGGACGTCTTTGGGATACAGACCTAGAAGTGGTATTGCTGGGTCACAGGGTCACTGTCTTATAGCCCTTGGGGCACACATTCTGGTGATTTCATTAGAATTGGGAAGCCCTTACTTAGAAACTCCTGCTGCAGATGGGCCATTGTCTTCCAGTGGCTTGTCTTAGAGAGTATCCAGGGGCGCTTGTTCGAGTCTTGGCTTGAGCTAAGCCCAGCATTCTCTCCTCAGAGCCACTTTGTAGGTGGTAGGCACTTCACAGAGTTTTGCTGAATTGATTGGGCTCATTAAAAATCCCACTTCTTCCACCCTTTTTTAGATTAGTAGAAGAATGGTGGGATGGGAACTAGATCTGCTTCTCAGGTGGTTTTTAATGGCTGGTCTTGATATTTCTAGCAGGGTCATTTCCTCCTGTTCCTGTCCCTACTTAGGAGAGCATCTGACTGAAGGTGGTGCATTGGAGAGTGTTTAGATTATAGTGAGGGTGGGAGAGGGATGGAAGAATTAGGGCCTGGACGATTGGGGAATTGTGGATTCAAAAGAGCAGCAAGACTGAGGATGTGAGAAAGGAGGAGGAGGATGTAGGAAGAGAAAGCAGGTAAGAATGAGGCAAGAGAGCAGGGATTGTTGTTGCAGAGTCCTTTCAGTTGTGCTGACTCTCCATGACCCCATTTGGGATTTTCTTGGCAAAGATAGTAGAGTGGTTTGCCATGTCTTTCTCCAGCTCATTTAATAGACGAGGAAATTGAGTAACTTGCTTAGGGTCACACCATTAGTAAGTGTCTCAGGCCGGATTTGAACTCAGGGCTTCCTGACTGAAGGCCTGGACCTCTATCCACTGGGCCACCCAGCTACCGCTTCACCATCCTAGTCACTTTCCTTTGGACACTGCAAAATAGCAGTGGTTTTTTGGCAGGGAGAGGGGAAGGGAGGAGGTCAAGACCTGCAATTTCATGGTGTGGAGAACTCCCTTCATCAGTGCCAGTGAGCAGCTCTTTGGCCATTTGAAGTGTGGGGAATGGCCCAAAGCACTGAGGGGCACAAGGGTATGTCAGATGCTTTCGGCTTCCCTTGGGGCCAGGCCCCTTTTCCTGCTGCCCTGGCAGTGCTGGAGCTGCATTTTACTGGGGATGCAGAGTGCTTGGCTCCCTGGTCCTGCACCCTTGGCTTGGTGTGACATGGTCTGAGGGCACACTCACCCACTCCTGACTCGAGGGAGACGCCCAGGTTACAGGCTGAAAGGAGGCGGGGAGGATCAGTGGCTTTCCATCTGCGCCTGCTCCTCTCTTGGAAGGGAACTTGGAGTCAAACTAACTCACTTTACAGATGAGAAAACTGAGGCTGAGAAAGGGGAAATGATTTGCTCCAGAGCATATGGGCAGTGGCTTGTTCTCGTCTTTCTGCAGTGGTGTCTGACTCTGCCCTCCCCTTCCTGGGGCTGGTGAGGACCCAAGCTCAGAATCAAGTCCCCTCGGTGGCTTCTTCTTCACTTGGTGAATTGCCCAGACTTTGGCGACTCCTCCTACCCAACTTTAGATGACTCCACTAATCAGCCACAGCTTGAGAGGAATCTGTGAATCCTAAAATCTTAACCCCCAGATCTTGTAGATGAAGAAATAGGGGCCCCAAGAGGAGACGGGAATTTACCCAAAGCCCCCCAGCCAGCTCATGCACGGCAGAAGGAGAAAGGGAAGGAAGAGGAGGTGGCGGAGAGGGTGGGGAGAGGCGGAGGGGGCAGAGGGGCGCGGGAACTCAACAGGGAGGTGGCCCCATCCAGCAAGAGTCTCCTCTGTGCCTCGGATTGTGCTGGGGACTGAGCCTGTCCTCAGAGAGCTTCCTGCCCTCCCTCTCCTTCAATTGCTGGGCATGTGCACTGTGCTTCCTGGTGTCGATCCTCCAGGAGAATGGGAGCTTCTGCTTTACATTTGGCTTTTGCCTCCTCACCCCCTAGCCCCTCCCTTGAGCATAGTGGGTCTTCAAGTGCTTACTGAGTGAATGAGGGTTCAGGGACGTTCTTGCCGGATTTCTGCACCCTCTGGGAGGTGGCATTCCATGGCCCTTCTTGCTTTGAAGCATCTCCAGTTTTAAGATTGAACCTTTGATTCTAATGTTGACCAAACATCACAGAAGAAAACCAGAACTTTGTAGGGCAGGTTTTTCTGAGGGAGGGAATCAGTTTTTTTGAAGAAGAGAGACGTCTTTTCCTTTGTTGGAGCAAAAAATGCCAGAGCCCGAAGAAGGAACATCGTGTGCATTGTGTAGCTCTTTTATTCATGTCACTTTATACATTTTTAAAAGGAAATTAGTTCAATGGAATGTACTGTAGCTCGGGTGGGATTGTTTCTGTAACAATATCACTCACTGCCAGCGGCTGGTGGGAAATTTATTTCTCAGCTGGTTCAGAAGAGCTGTCCTTTGTGGGCAGAGTGATGTCGGACGTTATTGTGAAAACATTCTTTGACAAGCCAATTGTCCTTCAGCTACTCCAACTTCACACGAGTTAGAAAACAAGACTTTTAAAAATAACAAAAAGTGGCATTTGTATTTTCCGAATGTTTGTATTTTTGAACGTTCTGTGAGGTGTTGCTGTCAGACTCTTTGCCAGTGAGGAGATGGAGACTTTGAGATTAAGGGACTGGCCCAGGGTCATGCAGCTGGGCTTGGAAATCAGGTATGTCCATTCGGGGATGGTCATTCCTGCTTTACAGGGTTTATTTCAGGTCTCCTCTAGGTGCAGAGTCTGCTACATTCCCTGTACATGCACTCAAGGGCTTGGTTTATAAATTGCTTGACAGAGATGTTGGAAAGCAGAGAAACTTGGAGTGGAAGTTTCAGGCCCTGTTGTCCATTGAAGGTCAGGCAGCAGTTGAGAGTCAGGAATCTTTGTGATGAATAGGTCCTAGCTGAAGTTGGGTCTGCCCCCGGTCACCAGTAGAGTCTCGGACATTGAGGACCTTTTCACTCTTCAGGGATGGCTCACCTTTGGCACATTTAAACTTTATGCTTGCATTTTATTTTTCAGGACACTCTCTATACATACCATGCCTGTCTGTGTGAGTGAAGAAGCAGATGTCCTCACAGTCGGTATGTCTGTTATACTCATCTTTACTTGGTGGCCAGTGGGAAATTGAGTTAGACCATCTGGGTGCCAGGCCCATGGCTAACTGCCAGCCAGAGTGCTGGCTCTGCTTCTTGCTAGCCTCAGTTTTTTCATGTGTTATAAACAAGGGGTTTGAACAGGATGGTCTTCCAGGTCTAAGGCAAGATCTGTTAATTCCTGTCAAGAAGGTCAAACTCTGACAATTCAAACTCAGCATTTCCAAAATGGAGTCTTTGACTGTCTTTCCCTGAGCCAGCTCCCACTGCTGGTTTGTTCTCTCCCTCTTACCCACGGGGCAGGGCTAGCCTCAGAGCGCCCACTGCTGAGTCCTCATACCCTCTCCCATGGGGCTAGCCTCAGAGCTCCTGGTGATTCATCTCTCATCCCCATATCCAACTGGTCACCAGCTGCTGTTGATAGAGCTGCTCCCAGACCACCAGCTTCTCTCTGTGTTGTTCAGTCATGTCTGATTCTTTGTGACCCCATTTGAGATTGTCTTGGCAAAAATACTATAGTAGTTTAACATTTTCTTCTCTAGCTTTTTTCTTTTTTTTTTAGGCAGTTGGGGTTAAGTGATTTGTCCAGGGTCACACAGCTAGTAAGTGTCAAGTATTTGGTCTGAGGCCAGATTTGAATTCAGGTCCTCCTGACTTTAGGGCTGGTGCTCTATCCACTGTGCCACCTAGCTGCCCCTCTCTAGCTCATTTTACAGATGAGGAACTGAGGCAAACATGGTTAAGTGACTTGCCCAGGGTCACACAGGAGGTCTGAGGCAGGATTTGAGCTCAGGAAGATGAGCCTTCCTGATTCCAGGCCTTGTGCTCTGTGCACTGTGGCAGCCCTGGCTCTGTCAGTTTTTATAGTGTCTTATTTTTCCATCAGTAAATAAAATTACAAGGAAAAATAAATACTGCTGTTTTTATTTTTCTTCAGCTTGATGCTTTAAACTGAGGTCTTAAAGATAGCATCTTTCAACGGACAGGACGTGTCTGGGTGGCAGCGTGTTGCAGTAAATGGAGAGCCAGCAAGACCTGAGTTTAAATACTACCTCAGACACTCCCTCCTGTGACGTTGGGCAAGTCTCTTCGCCTCTTTCTGCCTCAGTTTCCTCAGCTCTCAAATGAGGATAATAACAGCATCTATCTCCAATGAGATAATCATCATAAAATACTTTGCCAGCTTTGAGAAGAGCCCTCTAAAGGCTGGCTCTGCTCCTTCTGTGATGCCTCTCAGCACCCTGGGCATCTTTCTTCAGAGGGAGTGGCAGAGAAGGTGCCCACCTGCATGGGTGCAGGGAGTTTCCTTGGCCAGGAGCTCCCTTTCCCCATGAGATGATGGCCCCAGACCCTCCTAGTTTGGGAGGTGGTCCGGATTCTAAGAGGGGGAGATAAGCACACATAAGCACAGAGAGCAGCCCAAGCACGGGGCATAGCCCCTGAGCGGAGATTGAGTAGGCAAGGCCAGTGTGCCTAGACTGAGCTGTGCAGGAAGGGGAGGAGCAAAGCTAGAACAGCAGGTGGCGTGGAGCCAGCTCCTGAGAGGCTTTCAGAACCAAAGCGCTTGGTCCTAAAGGCAGTAGGAAGCAGCTGGAGGGCACTGAGTGGGGGAGCCCGTGGTCAGATCCCTGGGGTGATTCTGTGGGACCCGGGCTGGCCAGAGCACCCGGGGTCACGGACGCAGAGCCCATCAAGACTTGAGCGGCCATCCAGTCAGTTCACTCGGTTTACAGATGAGGAAACTGAGGTCCGGGGAGGTGAGATCACACGGCTAACAAGTATCCGAGGCAGGGAGGCCCAGTAAGAGGCTCTTCCAGTAGTCCAGGTGAGCCGTGTGGAAGCGTCAGGGGCGAGATTTGGCTGCTGATTGGATCGAGATGTGGATCCGGGAGAGGAAGTGGGGGCGAGGCCAGAGCTACGGACCTGGGTGACGAGGAGGCCGAGGTGCTTGACAGCAGGGGGAGTGAGGAAGAGGCGTGGCCTCCTTTTCCTTGGAAGTTAAGTGAAGGAGAAAACCTGGGAGAATTCCCCTGGGGGATACCCCTCTCCCCAGTCTAGTTTGCTCTCTGGTCCCTGCCCTGATCCTTCAGGCCCTCAGAGATGTGGCATGAAGTCCTCTCGTGGTCACAGAGGAAGTGCCATGTAACTGTGGGAGAGAACAGATTGAACAGAAGGCCACTCATTGAAGCCTAGTGTTACTGAGTTAGTGGGAGTCCCTCGCGTCCAGAGAAGCATCCCAGCTGCGCTCGCTCCCTGCACAACAGCCTTCTGTTTTTAGAGCCTGGCTCCCTCTCTCAGTCTTTCTTGAAGAATGTCACTAGGGGAACTCATTGGAGTTCCCCATTTATTTTTTCTCCCTAGTTTCCAGTCTTTTGCGACTCTATGGGAAAGCCCTCTAATATCTGCTTTATCCACGTGCCCCGCGCTCTTAAGTGGCCAGAAGCTGCCCCACAGGTCAGTCCCATCCCCAGACACTGTCACTGAGGCCAAAGTCTCTGGTTCCGCAGGTAGGAATGGGGCATGCCTCATCCGGGCAGTGGTCCTGGTGATACGAGCCTCACCATTCCATGGTGGGTTTAGTTATCCTGCCTTTATCCCAGTGTGGCATTATAGGAACATATGGGATTCTGGGATTTTCATGGTATAATTCCTTTTAAAAAAAAAAAAGATGCTAAAACATCGAGATTAAGCAGCTAGCTGGCGCAGTGAATAGAGTGTTGGACCTGGACTCAGGAGGACCTTCAAATTTAGCCTCAGGCACTTGCTAGTTGTGTGGTGCTGTTTGCCTCAGTTTCCTCATCTGTAAAATGATCTGGAGAAGGAAATGGCAAACCACCCCAAATGGGGTCATGGAGAGCTGGTCACGACGGGAATGAGTGAACCACAATATTGGGATACCCCATCGTTTCAAAGAAGCTGAGTCACGCGTCACAGCTGCCCTGCTGATTCCCGTAGATGTCTCATCTTCCCTCGTGCCTGGCTGGCGTGAGACCCAAGTAAGGTGTGCATTGATGCTGTTTGCTCAGTGTATACCTAGGTTTTATTATCAAAGAAATGGAATTGTAAGTTGGGGTGGCTAGGTGGCGCAGTGGGTAGAGCACCAGCCCTGGAGTAAGGAGGACCTGAGTTCAAATCTGGCCTCAGACACTTGACACTTACTAGCTGTGTGACCCTGGGCAAGTCACTTAACCCCAACTGCCTCACCAAAAAGGAAAGGAAAAAAAAGAAATGATGTTTTAGGGGATATTTGGGGACTTTCTGCTTCCAGACCAGGATAGTAATTTTTGTGGGAAGGGGAGGGGAAGAGTCTCGTGACTGGGCATGTCTGCATATTATTTCCAAGGTGACTTGGAGTATTTGGCTCCCAAAACTAAGATTTTCTCTCTGCCCACCTGGATGCTGACCTTCATAGGGGGCCAGTGGCAGCCTGCCTGCGCTGTTAATGGGACAGGGACGTTCTCTGTTTGTTCTCCCTGTTTCATGTCCTTCATGGTTACCCTAGAGGAGCCCTTCCGTACCTTCATGAATGCAGAAAGGGGCCCCTGGTGAGGGAAGGCCTAGAATAATACCATTTCAGTCAGTTAATCCAGACTCGTTTCTGCCTCCTCCCGTGGCTGATGTAGCCAGTGGCTTCACGTGTCCCTGTTCCTTGTGTTTCAGAGGATATGGAAGATGAAGAACTTTTGAATGAAGACATCGTCCATCCCTCAGCCCTGTCGACGTCGCTGCTGAAGCTGCAGGTGACGTCCAAACCAATGAGCCTCGTGGCAGCAAAAGTAGGTCCGGCCTTTCTGGGGAGAGAACGTGGGGGGATGTGCTTTGGTCTTGGGAGGATCCCTTGCATGTGGCAGGGAACGCCATTGCCTCGGGCCGTGCTCTTTGTTGGAGCTCTTGGCCTCGCTCCTCATCCTCCCTCCTCCTCCCTTGCCTGGGGAGGAAGGACATGCTGGTATTGCTCTCTGCCCCTCTGTATCCGTACACACGTGTGCTGTTGGCATGACCCAGAGAAATGGGAGGTGAGGAGCAGAGAGGAGTACGTGGCCAGTAGAAATGTTCTGGCACTTAAGCGAATGAGTTCTTCAACACGACAGAAGGATCCTAGCCTTCGGAGCGAAAGTCACAGAGGAGGTGCAGGCTCAGGCGCAGGCAGGGGATCTGTGGGAGGCCACCCAGGGCGCCAAGAACTGAGTGGAGCTGCTGGGGTGTGGCCAGCGTCTTGTCCAAGCCTTCGTTTTACAGGGAGATGCTGAGGACCAGAGGGGGAGGGGGTTGGGGCAAGTGCCCTCTGGCTCAGTGTCCTGCTCTGCCCCAGTCTCTGGGGTCCTGTACCATGCCCTCTGTGGGGTGTGGCTACGGCACAGCAGCCCTGGTAATGCAGATGTGAGTGGGGCACCTGGGGCAGACTTTGGCTTTTGTTGGGCACTGGGCCCAGAGAGGCTGCCCAGCTAGTAAATGCTAGAGTGGGCATGAAATCTCCACTGACTGCGTTGCACAGTGAAGATGTGGAGGGAGCGAGAAGGAGAAAGTGGGCCTTTAGTCGCTCATTCAGGGAGCAATCTCGGGGAAGAGAACGCTGGTCCATGAGTCAGAGGGACCCAGGTTCAAGTCCTGCCCCTGCCCTAGGCTGGCTGGGGGCACTAGGCATGACTCATAATATTCTTAGGTGCAGAAAATTGGCTGTCCTGCATTGGTGGAAGAACTGTCCACACAGGGAGTAAAAGGACCAATTGTCAGCTTAAGTTAGACTGCTTCTGACCAGGACTGGTTTCTGGGAAATAAGTGATGGAGGTTTGCCTGTTAACTGAAAAATTCAGTCAATCCCAGCCTTTATTCATCAGCTGCAGTGAACATAAGGGAAGGACACTTGCTTAAGAGATCATTGTAGTTGATGGGAAACAGAACCGTTAGGAGCAGCTTTGTTGAGAGACAGTCTCTATTTTCAGCTCCATGTCTGCTGATTTATGCCATGGGCCAGATGGTGGGCTGATAGCTGCTGCACCAGAATAACTGTGAAGCTTTCCATGTTTTTGATGAACAGAGGTCCAGATCTATTGGAAAGCAATTTGAGAGAGTGAGAGAAGCTGTCCTGGTCCGGGGGTGATTAAGGGAAGTCAGGATCTGGAAGACTGAAGGCACAAGGGGGCAGGGTCATTAGAATCTAAGCCGGAAGCCCGCCCATTCGCTTAGTCAGCAGGCAGAAAGAAAGGGCTCCTCGCATCCATTTTTATACCAGGTCAAGTCAAAGAGGGACCAGGACGGAGCAGGGTGGGGCTCAGTCCTGAGACCAGGGCTGAAGCTGGAATGCCAGACATCGCCCTCTCCTTCTTAGGAGCTGATCCCCTGAAGTCCTTGGGATAATTGACAGTCCCAAGGTAGATCCCAGGCAGTGCAGGTAAGGCTGCCTGCACATATGTGTAAGTTCAGGCAGCAAAGAGAGTGGCAAGAGGTGTCCTGGCCTCGGTCATTGGGCCCGGCTGCAGCAATGGAGAGATGTGAAAACACCCAGCAGAGGGTGAAGCCCTCCAGGCTACAGAGAGGAGGGGGAGAGGAATGTGCTGAGGCTGCTGAGCAGGAGAGAGTGGCCAGGGCTGACAGTGGGAGCAAGAAGCTGGTCTAGGGTGATATGGCAGAAAGAGTCCTGAATTATGAGCTGAAGATGATCTTGGCAAGGTGACATAATTAATCAGTCAGTCAGTAAACATTAAGTGTCTACTATGTGCCAGGCACTGTGCTAAATGCTGGGGATATAACAGGAGGCAGGAAAGTCCCTGCCCTCAAGGAGCTTACAATCTAATGGTGAGACAGTGTGCAAACAAATATATGCAAAGTGAGATATAGACAAGATAAATAGGAAATTTGAAATAGGAAACAGGGAAGTCACTAGAATTAAGAGTGGCTGGAGATGGCTTCCAGTAAAAGATGTGGTTTTAATTGGGACTTAGAGAAAAAGAGGGAGGTCAGGAGGCAGAGTGGAAGAGACAGAGCATTCCAGGCCTGGGGGAGATGTGCAGAGCCGAGAGATGGTGTGTCGTTCATGGAGCAGCCAGGAGGCCGGTGTCGCTGAAGAGGATTGAAGAGGATGTGATGGGAAGTGAGGTATAAAAAGATTGGAAAGGCAGAGGGCCTGGGTTATGAAGGTCTCTGAATAACAGACAGAGTATTTTGTATTTGATCTGAGGCAGGAGGGAGCCCCTAGAGTTTACTGAGTAGGGGAGGGACAGTCAGATCTGCTTTAGGAAAATCGCTTTATTTGCTGAGTGGAGGTTGCATTGGAGTGGGGAGAGACTGTAGGCAGGCAGACCACCCAGTAGCTATTGCTGTGGTGTGGGCGTGAGGTGACGGGTGCTTGTGCTAGCATGGGGGTAGTAAGAATAAATGTTGCAGAGGTGAGATCGACAGGCCTTGGCAACAGTTTGGATATGGGGAGTCAGAGAGAGTGAGGGGTCAAGGATGACACCTAGATTGGAAGCCTAAGGGATTGAGAGAATGGGGGTACCCTCCACAGTAATAAGAAAAGGTAGAAGGGGAGGGGTTTGGGGGAAAGCTATTGAGTTCCGTTTTGGGCATGTTGAGTTTAAGATGTCAACTGGACAGCTAGCTCGAGATGTCTGAAAGGCAGTTGGAGATGTGAGATTGGAGGGCAGCAAAGGCAGATTTGAGAATTATCTGCATAGAGATGGTCATTCAATCCATGAGAGTTGATGAGCTCACCCAGTGAAGGTAGATAGAAGGAGAAGAGAAAAGGGCCCAGGACAGAGCCCTGTGGGACCCTTCTGGAGGAGGACAAGCAAGAGAATGAGGAGTGGTCAGAGAGAGAGGAGGAGGACCAGGAGGGAGGGATCCTGAAAACCTGGAGAGAGTGACCCACAGAGTCCAGGGCTGCAGAGAAGCCCGGGAGAAGGATTGAAAAAAGGCCATTGGGTTTGACAGCTGAGAGATCACTGGCGACTTGGAGAGAAGTTTTGGTGGAATGGTGACATTGGAGCCATATTTTAAAGGGTCAAGAAGAGAACAAGAGGAAAGTGGAAGCTCCACTTGTAAGTGGCCTTTTTGAGGAGTTTAGACACAAAAGGCAGAGAAGTAAGATGATAGTGGAGAATGGAGGGATCAGGCGAGGGCTTTTTGAGGATAGGGAGGCGTGGACGTGTTTGTTGGCAGCAGGGAAGGAGGTAGTAGAAGAGTGAAGAGAAATGAAGGAGAAGGGATGGCCGAAGAGAAGCTCTGCTGGAGGAAGTGGGATGGCTGGGGTCACTAGAGCAGGGGGTAAGGCTTGGCCTTGGTCAGGAGTCAGGCCACCTCATCATCCCAGACAGGGTGAAGGAAGAGTGAGGGGAGAGGGTGCCTGGGTGATGGAGGGGAGGAGGAGGCGAGAGGGGAGCTCATGGTAAATGACAGAAAGAAGAGGGATAGTTAATCAGTACTAAGAACAGTGAAAGCATTAAATGGTGATAATCTTAATAATTATAATAATACAAATGTGAACCCAAAATAGGCTTACAGTTTGAGCAGATAAACTTGCTGGCACTGGACCTGCCTTACACAGAAATGCGCCTACCACTTCCTGGAAAGACCACTGCTCCGTAAAAATGTAAGAAGAGCATTTCAAACGGTTTTTGCCATCCTGAATACTCATCTTCTCCAATCCACATACAGGAGGTCTGGTGAAAGAAATGAAAATGATCTCAGATCAGGACAGAGTCCACGTGTTCACTGTGAGCCTATCTGCTCCTGAGGAGCTGGCAGAGCCTTCCAGGGAAGGCACAGATTCCCTGCAGATCCCAGCCCTCTGAGTTACCAAATGCAGTCGCTGCATCTACCTGTCAGGATTCCACAGGATGGCAGGAGAGGGACTGCTCTAAAGATCATTTCTGTCTGAACCCTGTCAAAAATGTGAGAGTGAAATGGCAGGAATAACTTTGGTATCAGTAAACAAAGAGAATTGTGTATAGTTTCCAAACTAAAGATGTTCAGCCAGAACATCTTATTGATCATTTGATGTCCGTGGATGACCTAAATTTCTGTGGCTTCACCAAAAAATCAAATTAAGCAGCTCCTTCACCTCGTGGTACCCTTCTCTACTGACATAAGCATGATATTTGGGTTTTATATGTATAGAGATAGAAGCTGAAAGCTTTGATCTTGACCCCAAGACTCATGAACACAAAACCATCAAGGAGAAGGCCATGGTTGAATATATTGAGAGGTTTAGGGGACTCCAGAAATGAAAGCCATGAATGCCTATGCCACGTATATGGCTGGGCCAAGACAGCCTAGGAAAATGTTCTAGCCCAGCCTGTGCCCCATGAGTGAAGTGCAGGCCCCGTGAGCGTCAGGATCATCCTCTAAGCCCAAACAAGCCGCCATCACTTCCCTGAGAATAGATCTGGGCTGATATCTGGGCCCTGTGGGCAGCATAGGGCAGGCTCCCTATGTGGGATGTCCAGAAGGAACTCAGGCAGTAAGATGAGCATTTTCATCCACCCAGCAGAGCACAGGAAGAAGTGTATCATAAATCCCACCATCCCTTTTAAAACTGCCTAGCCTCCCTGTGCTTCCTTCTCAGCTTCCTTCTGTTCTGGGCTTCATATTAAAAAAATGTCATGGTCCTCTTCTATGTTGATGTGACTGTTGTTCACCCTTCTCTTGGCCCCAATTTAAAAGTGTAAAAACAGCTTTGTAATAGACAAGCATGGGAAAAGAAACAGCACCCAGAAGTCCCCTTGAGGCCGTCACCTGCCTGCCAGGTCCTCGGTGGTGATTGTTACCTTGACCAGAGTCCTTGCGGGGGGGGGTTTTGTTTGTTTGTTTTTTCCAGTTCTATCATTGCATAAATTGTTTTCCTGGTTCTGCTCCCTCCACTGCCTCAGGCCCAACATGCCGGGATTCTTTGAAATCCCCTCCTTTGTCGTTCCTTACTGTGCAGTCATATTCCATCCCATCCATAGACCATCATGGGTTCAGCCATTCCCCGACTGCCAGGTGTCTCCTCTGTTTCCAGTTCTTTACAGCCAACAGGAAGAGGAATGACAAACAATGACTGAGTGACATAGATTTGTTGGTGGAAATGGAGGGGTTGGTGATGGTAATTCAGAACCAAGTTATTGCCACCAGAAACTACCAAAGGACTATTCTCTAGGAGCCCGGACTCGGTGATCAGCACAGACTGTGCAGCATGCCACCACAGGCTGTAAAAGGGGAGCGTCTGTTGAAGGCCTAGTGGCTAGAATCGCATATCAGAAGCTCTGTGTCTGGTGGCTGACAGATGACAAATCTGTGTAATACAAAGACAGGCTCCAAAGTATCCTGGAGAATTCAGCCTATAAATAGTACAGGAATTGGGCCATCGTCAGAGGCCAAAGTGCTGCCCACAATCACTCAGACATAGCAAAAACCCAGGAAAACCTAAAATGTGTCTTTTCAGTTAGTATTATCCTACCAAGTACTCCTCATCTCCCAATTCTGTCATGGGACAGAGGAGAGAGCATAGGGGTGGGGGGGAGGTGTCAGGCTGAGCTTCATGCTGTCTCTTATGTCTTTTGTTCAACTACAGAAACAGTTATTTCGTCCACCTGTACCAATGTTTTTAGAACATTAAACATGAATGAGGAGGAGCAGGTTAGTGACTTGTCCCTGGACCATTTGTATCTCAGCAAAAAGAGGAAGGATTATAACAACAACAGTCAGGTCCACCATGCTGTGCTGTTTGGTGCATATTGCCACTTATAGATGCTTTATCCATCACTTGGGGTGCATAGAGGTATTGATAGTTCCAAGAGAGTAATCTCCATGACAGCATCAGAACGGGGAGCCCTGCTCCTCTGCCAGGAGCTGATGGATTGGAGATTTCCTGTACAAAGTCCGTGGTGGGCCTCTGCCCCAGTACCACTGCGAAGTGTGGGTAGACACTCTGACCGCTGAAGGGAAGAATGGAATAGATTGTTACTTAATGTCATATCCTGGAGCTGTGAGGAACATTAGATCTCATCTGTCTTTTTTTAAAGTAATATTTTATTTTTTCCTAATTACACATAAAGACAATTTTTAACATTTATTTTTTAAAATTTTGAGTTCCAAATCCTCCTCTTCCCTGCAATGGTAAGCAATTTGATATAGGTTATACATGTACAACAATGCAAAACATTTCCATTTTAGTCATATTGTGAAAGAAAACACAGACCAAAAGAAAACCATGAAAAAAATAAAGTGAAAAATGTTCTGCTCCTGTCTGCCTTCAGACTCCATCAGCTCCTTTTCTGGAGGTGGAGAGCATTTTTCCCTCATGAGTCCTTTGCAGTTGTCTTGGATCATGGTATTGTTGAGAAGAGCTGTGTCATTCCCAGCTGTTCATCGTGCAGTATGGCTGTTACAGTGGACAATGTTTTCCTGGTTCTTCTCACTTCACTTTGAATTGGTTCCTCTAAGTCTTTCCAGGTTTATCTTATTTTTTTACTAAATTTTTTTTCAAATGAAAATCAGCCTTCTGTCTCTTCCCACCCCTCATTGAGAAAGCAAGAAAATCAAAACCCTTATTACAGACATGCATAGTCAAGCAAAATAAATTTTCATTGTGCTCATGTCCCCCTCCCCCCCCAAAGGGTTGCACTTTGTACCCTGAGTCTCTCACCTCTAATCTGGAGGCAGGTAGCGTGCTTGTTTCATCCTGAGGCCTCTAGGATTGTAGCTGGTCGCTCTGCTGCTCAGTTTTCCAGAGTCTTTTAGGGTTGTTTGTCTTTACAGTATTGCTGTTATTGTATAAATTGTTCTCCTGATTCTGTTCACTTCCTTCTGTCTCAGTCCATACAAGTCTTCTCAGATTTCTCTGAAACTATCCCCTTCCTTGTTTCTTATAGCATGATGTGTTGCTTCACATTCATAGACTGTAACTTCCTCAGTTTCCAGTTAATTGATTTCATTGGTCTTTGATGAGGCCTCCAAACACCCTGCAGGTGTTGAGCCAATGTGACATAGTGACTCGGAACACCTTTGGTTTACACATCCTGCATAGGACCAGAGATTCCCCGAAGGTAAACGTAAGGGTCATGGACAGAATGCTGGCTTGAGTCCAGGACTTGACCATGTGACAGGGTCCAGTTGCTCACCAGTCAGCCTCCCAGAGGGAAGCGGAACACCTGCTTGTGTCACCTCACCAAGCCATCCTGAGCATCAGACAAGAGGATGGATCTGGAAGGGGGAATTGGAGGGTTAAACACCTCTGGAGGAACTCTTCTTCATTAAACATGACACGTTGGATTTGAAGTATGAAATACGCTTCCAGAGCTCTCCTCTTTTTGAAACAAGGAAATGCTCTGTGCAGCCACAGAGGTGACTTTTGTTTTACTGTTAACCATTACAAGTCAAATTATTCCTCTTTCTTCTTTTTAAGGAAATAAAAACCGTTCTGTTTGGCTCAGCTCTTTGTGGCTTCAATGAAGAATGGAAATTGCAGAATTTTACGTTCAGTGAAATGGCTCAGCTCAAATACGGTCTCGTGCAGAACAAAGTAGGTAGCTTGGATCTGTGCCACCTGTGGCACTGGGAGGAGGTGTGGGCTGTAAAGGGAGGGAGGCTCTGTGTGTACCCTGAGAAATCCGAGTCCTGAGAGACCCAGAATCAGCTTGGCTTTTTGTGCAGACTATCCCCAAGGCCCATTCTTTACCCTCTGGCTGGGACCCACTTTGGGAGCCGTGGGGCAGGGAGCACAGGACCAGGGCTCTGAGGCCACATGGAGCTCTCCTGGCTGTCAGCAAGGCTGACCTGACCTTCTTGCACCAGAGACATTTGACTATGTTTTTGTTGAATGGTTTTTTACTTTTCACTTGAGGAAAGCAGATGCACTGTGCTTGCTCTTGGCTGACCTTTTCACCTACCACATTTTTACCTGGGTTCAAAATATTCCAAATTGTTTTCCTGAGATTTCATTTCACATCAGTCTAAGATAAAAGAATTATCCAGTGATGCTGAAGAACTGAATGAAGCTTTGTTTCTAACCCTATGAGGACCAGTACATTTTGTCTCCCTCTACCTCAGCCCCTATGGGTGGGAGTGGGTCTGGGCCCCAAAGACTCTAGGTGGCCCTGCATTCGCTATCCATTCGGATCCAGCATGGCAGCCCAGGGTCACACCTGTGTATCTCTGGAGGGCTCGGGGTGATGTCCAGAGTCCCCTGATCTGGAGGGGAAACAAGAGGAAACTTATTCATTAAATACCTACTGTGTGCCTGGTGTGGTCCTAAGTGTTTTTAGCAAGGCCTATCCCATTTGTTCCTTACAACAACCCTGAGAGGTAAGTGTTGTTATTCTCCCTCTTTTACAGACAAGGAAACTGAAATGGGGAGAGGTTTGGTGACTGGCTTAGGGTCATAGAGCTCGTCGGTGCCTGAGGCTGGATCTGAGCTCAGTTCTAGGCACCGCGATTTCACCAGCTGCCACTGCCCACGTGGCCAAGTTGAATCAGGCTTGGCTTCTCCGATCCCTCAGGAGCACAGCTGTGTTGCCCGGGGTCTGGGGCCTCTGTGGTTGTGTGTGCAGAGCCAGGGCCACTCACGGCTTCCTTTTGGGGCCCTGGGTGACGTTCCATCAGTTTCCTAGTTAGTGGGAAATCTGCCCGGCGGTATGAGATTGTGAACAGTCTAGATGGCAGCCTGGATTCATTGCTGTGTGAGACTGGTCCTTGTGTCTGATTCTTTGTAGGGGGGGCCATGCGGCGTTCTGGCTGCTGTGCAGGGCTGCGTCCTGAAAAACCTCTTATTTGGAGGGGAGAGCAGAAGAACCAGCACCCGGTAAGTTGCCAGCTTTGGGGAAGCTTCTGTATTTCAGGAAACTTTGAAAAACTTCTTCTGGAGAAGACAGCTGTGCTGAGCTACACTGGCAGGAAATTACCCACCTGCAAGGGGTTCAAAAAAATGCTCCATTTATAATTGCAGTGTTTAATGGATTGACTTAGCAGTTGTCCACGTTCGTTTCTTTGTATAAATTCATTTATTATTTATTTATTTTAAACATTCTTTTCTTTTTAAATTTTGAGTTCCAAACTCTCTCCTTCTCTCCCACCTCTCTCCCACCCTCTGAAAAGGCAAGCAAAATGATTTCAGTTATACATGTGAAATCATGCAAAACATGTTTCCATATTAGCCATACCACAAAAAGCAAGATGAATAAAGTGAGAAAATTAAGCTTCACTTTGCACTCAGAGTTCATCAGTTCTCTCTCTGGAGGTGGGGAGCAGTTTTTCCTCATGAGTCCTTTGGAATAGTCTTGGATCATTGCATTGATGAGAGTAAGTAGCCAAATGTTTCACAGTTGATCATCGTTACAACATTGCTGTTACTGTGCACAATGATCTCCCCATTCTTCTCACTTCACTTTGCATCTGTTTGCTTAGGTCTTGCCAAACTTTTCTGAAACCGCTCCCGTCATATTACTTAGAGCACAACAGTATTCCATCACAATCACATATTGGCTTGTTCAGCCATTCCCTAATTGATGGGCATCCACTCAGTTTCCGATTTTTCGCCACCGCAGAAAGAGCTGCTGTAAACATATTTGTACTTATAGGTCCTTTTCCTTTTTCTTTGATCTCTTTGGGGTACAGACCTAGTAGTGGTATAGCTGGGTCAAAGGGTATTTACAGGGCATAGTTCCAAATTGTTCTCCAGAGTGATTGGACCAGTTCACAACTCTACCAGCTGTTCATTAGTGTATCTATTTTCTCCTCCTCCAGCATTTTTCATTTCTTACAGGTGTGAGGTGGTACCTCAGAGTTATTTTAATTTTCATTTCTCTAATCAGTAGTGAAATTAGAGCATTTTTTCATATTACTATAGATAGCTTTGATTTCTTCTTCTGAAAACTACCTGTTGTCACTTGGTAGGATGGCTCTTATTTTTACAAATGTGACTCAGTTCCCCTTTATAAGGGAATGTTTAAGAATGTTTGATATTACTTCATTGTCTGTGGTACCTTTTAGCACAATGTGGTTTCCCTGCTTACCTCTTTTAATAAGGTCTACTTTGCTTTTGCTTTGTCTGAGATCATGATTGCTATCTCTGATTTTTTTTTACTTCAGTTGAAGCATAATAAGTTATGCTCAAGCCCATTATTTGAACTCTGTGTATGTCTTTCTGTTTCAAGTGTCTCTTGTAAACAACTTATTGTTTATTTCTGATTTCTAATCCATTCTGCTATCTGATTCCATTTTATGTAATTCACATTCTATTCACATTCAATTATGATTATTAACTATGTATTTCACTCAATCCTGTTTTATTCTGTTTATTCTTTTTCTCTTTTTAGTCTGTCTCTTCTCAAAAGTCTGGTTTGCTCCTGACCATGGCCTCCCTTAATCTACCCTCCCTTTTGTCATCATACCTTTGCTGTATCTCTTATCTACTTCCACTCCTGTTTCCCTGTTGAGTAAGATAGATTTCTATTCCTAACTATCTTTATATACATACATACATACATACATACATACATACATACATATATACACACATACATAGATTCTTCCTTCTTTGAACCAGTTTGATGAGAGTAAGGTTCAAACATTGCCTGACCCCCCATTTTCCCCTCTGCTATAAAAGTTCTTCCTTGTTCACATGTTTTATGTGAGAAAATTTTTCCTGTTCTATCTCTTCTTTCCCCCTTCTCCCTGTGCTTCCCTCTTTTCCTTCATTTTTTTAAGAGATCTTCTCAGCATAATTAATCAATGCAAACCCATGCCCTCTGCCTATATGGACTCCTGTCTGCCCTACTAATCATAAAGTTCTTAGGAATTACATATATCATCTTCCCATGTAGGAATGTAAACTGTTTAATTTTATTGAATCCTTTATGATTACTCTTTCATGTTTACCTTTTTGTGTTCCTCTTGAGTCTTCTGTTTGAATGTCAGATTTTCTATTTGGCTTTGGCCTTTTCATAAGGAGTTCTTGAAAATCCTCTATTTCATAAATGTCCATTTTTTGCTCTGAAGGATTATACTCAGTTTTGCTGGGTAGGTTATGTAATCCTAGCTTTTTGTCTTCTGGAATATCATGTTCCAAGCCTTCTGCTCCTTTAATGTGGAAGCTCCTAAATCTTGTGTGTCATCCTGACTGTAGCTCCGTGATATTTGAATTGTTGTTTTTTTTTTTTTTCCTGGCTGCTTGAAGTATTTTCTCCTTGACCTGGAAGGTCTAGAATTTGGCTTACAATATTCCTGGGAATTTTCATTTTGAGATCTCTTTCAGAAGGTGATTGGTGGATTCTTTTAATTTCTATTTTACCCTCTGGATCTAAGATATCAGGGTAGTTTTCCTTTATAATTTCTCAAAATATTATCTCTAGACTCTTTTTTTAATTATAGCTTTCAGGTAGTCCAATAATTCTTAAATTACCTCTCCTCAATCTGTTTTCCAGGTCATTTGTTTTTCTGATGAGATATTTCACATTTTCTTCTCTTTTTTCATTCTTTGAACTTTATTTTTTTCTTGATGTTTCATGGAGTCGTTAGCTTCCACTTAGCCAGCTCTAATTTTTACGGAATTATTTTTTCAGTTAGTTTTTGTACCTTTTTTTCCGCATTTGGCCAGTTCTGCTTTTTAAGGCATTCTTTTCTTCAGTGAATTTTTGTGCCCGTTTTACCATTAGGATAGTTCTGTTTTTTAAGGGATTCTTTTCTTCAGTATTTTTTGTGCCTTCTTTATCTAGCTGTTAATTCTCTTTTCATAATTTTCTTGCCTCAGTCATTTCTTTTCCCTCTTTTTCCTTTACTACTCATCTCATTCTTTAACTCTTCCTAGAATTCTTGTTGGGCTTGGATGCAGTCAGCATTTTATTTTTGAGGCTTTGCTTATAGTTGTTTTCACATTGTTGTCTTCTCAGTTTAGGTCTTGGTCTTCCCTGCCACCATAGTAGCTTTTTATGGCCAAGCTCTTTGTTTGTGGTTTGCTTGCATTTGAACCTTCTGATGAAGTTGGGCTCTGCTTACCTGGGGATGGGGAGGCACGGTCCTGAGCTTCTGGCTTTCTCGTACTGCTGTTTTCAGAGCTAGTTCTGGGGGTCTGCAAGTTTTTGATGCTTGCAAGGTGATGTTCTCTGGAGGGAGGTGTGATCACTGCTCTCCTGGTTTGCATTCTGGTCTTTACCCAAGAAGGGCCCCTGCTCTCCTGAAGCCACAAGAGCTTGTGCTCCTTTTGAAAGCCCTGGAACTGTTACTGGGACCCCTGCTCCCCTGGGACTGACCACAGATGCTCCTCTCTGCCCTAGAACTGCAGCCAGAACCGTGCATGGGCAATAGTTGCCTGTCTGTGCCAGCCGGGGGTCCCCTGTAGTCCAATTCTTACCATTTGTCAGACCTCCCTCACCACGTCTGGGCTGAGCACTCCCAAAGCTGCCATCCCAGCCATCTCCCAGGCCCGCAGCTGGAGCTGCTGCTGTGTTCTGACCCTCCTCACACCCCTGCTTCACATGCCTCTCCTGCTGACCTCCCACATTGTCTCAGGCTGGAGAGATGTGTCCCCCTGACCTTTTGTGGTTCTGTGGCTTTCCATTTTGATTTGAGGCTCCTTGGGTGGTGATTGGGAGAGTTCAGCCGGTCGTGGTCTGCCGTCCATCATCTTCCACATTAGTTTCAGCAGTGCCAGTTGAGCCTCACCCTGTCTTCTTTCCAGCCTTCTCTTCAGGTGAGTCCTGGCTTCCCTTTACCCTTCCCAGCTGGGGTCCTTCCCTTGGGCTGCATGCCGGCCCCACCTCAGGTCAGGTGCTGCCGTCGCTTTCTGCACAGTTATCCCAAGACTGAAAGCCTGAAAGAGCTTCAGGACCTCACTCTTGAAGACAGGAGTGTGCAAGACCACCCTTGGTTTCTCACGGTTCAGAGGGCTCTGCTGAAGACACGACGCTGAGCCTGGCCTGCACAAGCCTCAGCCCTTTTGTACTTGGCCGTCTGCCGTTCACACCCTGTCCCTGCCCTGGTCGCCATCCTCCTGTCCTACCTGACTGCCGATTCCATCTGTGGTCAGCGGACGGAGGGGCCCCCGCCTGCCCTTTTCTGCACGCTCAGTGTCCAGTGCATTTGCTGGAGGCCATAGCCCATCACTGATTGGTATTGATTTGTATCATTATCGATATCGACACTGTGCTGGGCTGTGTCTCAGCATCTTTCATGGCATCTCTCCAGACACCGCCTTCCAGATGAACACCAGGGCTTTCAAGCAGTTCCACCCCCAGGCACCTCTGCTTGGACTCTGGCCGCATCTCTCTAGTGTCCCCAAGCACGCCGTGGATCATTCTCGTAACCCTGCCCCAGACCCAGGTGACTTGGACCGCTTCTCTGCCCTCCAGCTTTTCACGTAGTCATTGTGATTTTGATGGTGTTTAGGGGCTTTTGCTCTTTCCTTCCCTTCTCTTCTCTTGTGTCAGCTATAAAGTCCCTTGCCTTGCCTCCTCAGGATGAGAGCAGGGGAGCAGTGCTGGCGGGTCCTCAGAGTGTGACCTGGGCCTGATGGCAGGGCTGTGCAGGGGCAGGCTGGCGGTAGCCACCTGCTTGCTGATGCCCTCTCTTCTCTGAGCAGGATGGCATTCATGCTGAGCCTTTGTTCCGAGCTTTGGGCATCTGTCCCTCCAGCTGGGACCGTGTACAGTCAGGATCTCTGGATCTGATTGAAAACCATCAGGAGGACCAAAGTAAGGGGCAGCTAGGTGGCGCAGTGGATAGAGCACCGGCCCTGGATTCAGGAGGACCTGAGTTCAAATCTGGCCTCAGACACATAACACTTACTAGCTGTGTGACCCTGGGCAA